GTATACACATTTATGCTGTATTAGTTTTCCATCATGGCTGTAACAAATTATCACAAAGTTAGTGGCTTAAAACAACATAGATTTAGGGGACTTCCCTGGAGGTGCAGTGGTTAAGACTCCACACTCCCAATGCAGGGGTGTTGGTCCAATCCCTCGTCGGAGAACTAGATCCCACATCCATGCTGCAACTAGGAGTTCACATGCCACAACTAAGGAGCCCACCTGCTGCAACTAAGACCCAACGCAACCAAATAAATAAATATTTTAGAAACAACAACAGCAACCTAGATTTATTATCTTACAGTTTTACAGGTCAGAAGTCCAACACAGGCCTCACTGGGCTAAAATCAAGGTGTCAAGCCTTCTGGAGGCTCTAGAGGAGAGTCTGTTTCTTTGCCCTTCCCAGACTCTAGAGGCCACCTGCATTCCTTGGCTGGTGCCCCCCTTCCTCCATCTTAAAAGCCAGCAACAGCAGGTCAAGTCCTCACACTGCATCACTCTGACCTGTCTGCCTACTCTCTCCCACTTTTAAGGACTCTTAATTATATTGGGCCCAGACAATCCAGGATGATCTCCCTATTTTAAGGTCAGCTGACTAGCAAATTTAGTTCCATCTGCAACCCTAATTCCCCTTTGTCATGTAAATAACGTATTCACAGATTCCAAGGATTAGGACATGGACATCTTGGGGGAGGAGGGTGGCTTCTGACTATCACATTGGCCCTCTTTAAGATATATAAAGTTTAAATTATAAACTTAGACATGATTCTCTTAACACAAAGAAGAAACTTCATTTAATTCATGGAAAATCTTTTTCTCCATTTATTTATTTGGTTTATTTATTGAGGTAAATTCATATAACATAAAGTTAACCATTTTAAAGTATACATTTCAGTGGTATTTAGTACATTCACAATGTTGTACAACCACCAACCAACACCTATATCAAGTTCCAAATCATTTTCATTACCCTAAAAGAAAACTCCGTATCCATTAAAAAGTCATTCTCCCAGCCCCTGGCAACATTAATCTGCTGTCTCTCTAGATTTACCAATTCTGGATATTTAATAAAATGGAATCATACAATTTCTGACCTTTTGTGTCTGGATATTCACAATTTGAGACCCTTTGTGACTGGCTACTCTCACTTACCATCTTTTCGAGGCTCATCCATGTTGTAGCATGTACCAGTACTCCAATCCTTCTGTGACCAAATAATATTCCATTGTACGGCTATATCACATTTGTTTATCCATACATTTAATGATGCACATTGGGTTGTTTCCAACTTTTGGCTATTGTGAATAGTGCTATGAAACTCCTGTACAACTATTTGTTTGAATACCTGTTTTCAATTTTGGGGGTATATACTTAGAATTGCTGGGTCTTGTAATATTATGTTTAACTTTTGAGGAACTGCCAAACTGTTCCACAGTGGCTATACCATTTTATACCCCCATAAGCAATGTGCAAGTTTTCAAATTTCTCCACATTCTTGCCAATACATACTTTCCTTAAAAAATTATTATTATAGCCAACCTAGTGGGTATAGAGTGGCATCTCGTGTTTCTGATTTGCATTTCTCTAATGACTAATAACGTTGAGCACCTTGTCATGTGCTTGTTGGTCACTTACACATCGTTTTTGGAAAGCATCTATTCAAATCCTTTGCTCATTTTTTAATTGGGTTGTCTTTTTGTTGTTGAGTTGTAAGAGTTCTTTACATATTCTGGACATTAGACCCTGATTTGCAAATATTTTCTCCCATTGTGTAGGTTGTCTTTTCACTTTCTTGATAACATCCTTTGATGCACAAAAGCTTCTCATTTTGATGAAACCCAATTTATCTTTTCCTTTTGTTGCTCTTCTTTTGGTATTGTATCTAAAAATCCATTGCCAAATCCAAGGTCATTAAGATTTACCCCTCATCTTTTCTTCTAAGAGTTTTATAGTTTAGTTCTTACATTTAGGTTATTGGTTAATCCATTTTGAGTTTATGTTTGTATATGGCATAAGGTAGGGGTGCAACTTCATTCTTTTGCATATGGATATTCACGTGTCCCAGCACCACTTGTTGAAGAGACATTTCTTTTCCCATTGAATGGTCTTGGCATTCTTTTCAAAAATCAGTTGGCCCTAGATTTGTAAGTTTGTTTCTGGACTTTCTATTCTCTTGGTCTATACAGTTATCCCTATGCTAGTACCACACTGTTTTGATCACTGTAGCTTTGTAATAAGTTTTGTAATAAGGAAATGTGAGTCCTCCAACTTTGTTCTTCTTCAATATTGTTTTAAGTATTCAGCATCCTGCACAATTCCATATGAGTTTACCACTTTTGCCAAAAGGGCTATTGCAATTTTAATAGGTATTACATTGAATCTGTAGATCACGCTGGGTAGTATTGCCATCTTAACAATATTAAGTCTTCCAATACTTGAACATGGATGTCTTTCCACTTATTTAGGTCTTCTTTAGTATCTTTCAGCAACGTTTTACAGTTTTCAGTGTGTCTTCCACTTTTGTGTAGTAAGGAATCTGGCCTTGTCTAAAGAGAGGTCTGGCCTTTGTTCCAGCTCCTGGGAGATGACCGCCACATCCTTGCAATTTCCCAAGTGATAGAATGTCTCTGTAATTCATAGTGGGTCCCTCAGACCAACTCTGACAGTTTATGCTAATGAGGTGTCTAAGGGTGGGCCCCTTCTCGGTTCAGGCTAATGAAATGACTCAGGGTAGGGCCGGCAATGTCAGAAAGACCAACAATGTGATTGGAGAGTTAGGGCTTTGTGTCACATGGTAACAGCCCAAACTTCAGGGAGGCAGGTGACTGGAGATTTTAGTTTGATCACATGGACTATGATTCATGCCAAGTAATGAAGCCTCACAAAGCAAGGGATACCAGGGCTTGAGTGATATCCCAGGTTGGCAATACTCTTAGAGCACTGTCACACATCATAGCTGAGAGGAGATAACTCCACTCAGGACCTCACCTGGAGAGGACAACCAGAACTGTGAGTTTGGACCCCTCCCAGATTCTGCCCTATGCTACTCTTCCCTTGCTTGATTTCAATGTATCCTTTTTCTGTAATAGATGTGACTGTGAATATAATAGCTTTCAGGGTGTTCTGTGAGTCTTTCTAGCAAATTACTGATCCTAAGCAAGGTTATGAGAACCTCCAAATTTGTGGCCAGATGGTGTGAAGTGAGGGTGACCCTGGAGACCCCCAATCTTGCAGACGGTGTCTGAAGTAAGGGCAGTTTTGTGGGCAGTGTTTCTTCAGAAAGTAGAGTTGCCTAAAATCTTTGCAACCTCCTTAGTTAAACGTATCCCTAGGTGTTTTTATTCTTTTGGATGCTATTGTAAATGAAATTATTTCCTTAATTTCCTATTTATTCATTTTTAAAAATACTTATTGAGCACTTGCTATATGCTAGGCTCTGTTCCAAGTGCTTCACAAACACTAATTTTATTCCCCTAGCAACCTTAATTAGGTACTTTGTTGGAAACTGGGCAGATCCACTATACTGCTGCTTTACGTGCCTTCTTTGAGAAGTTTCCTGGGAATCTCTTAGCTACCTCTTCGCACTGCCATTCCATAGCACAGGTCCTTATAAATTTACACCCGAGCCACAGTGTCCCACTGTCTCCCTAACTCAACTATCTACCATCTACTCTGAATGCTGCTGCCACTAACAATCCTGAAGCACTGCTGATCTAAGTCCTGGCCACTCCAGTGACCTTAAGTGCCTTTCTTCTCTGCATTTACAAAGGTAAAAAACAATTACTGCTCACAAGCAGTACTTGACCATAGATTCTGCAATGTCTTCTACTAACATATTGAACTGCTACTGAAAACTTTGCTGTGAAACAAGCAGAGTGGTTGAGAGGAGGGCGCAAGGCCTGACCCCACAAACCCCACTCCTCCTCAACCTCAGGTTATTCATTTGCAAAACAGAAACTATAAGGCCTACTCTTAAGTGTTGTGGGAATTAAGTGTGTGTGTGAGACAAAAGGTGGAGTGGTAGGACAGGTCCTGGCATGGCAAATGCTCAAGAAATGTGGGCTGATTTGTATCTCAGTTGCCCCCAAAGAACTTGTAAATTCTTTGAAGGCAAGGGCCTTGACATACTTTTTTGGTATGTCTCAAATCAAGATTATTTAATCACTTTAACAGATACACTTTGGTATCTGGACTTGCTCAAGAACCATGGCTCTTATGACAAAAACCAGGCTCTGAAGTCTGACTTCAAATGTTGGCCACTGTAAAGGTCAGTGGCCTCTGTAAAGTTACCCAACCCCTCTGAACCTCAGGTCCTTTATTTGTAAACTGTCAATAGTACCTACTCCACAGGCTCATGAGGATTCAGGTGAAGTGTTTAGTATATAATCAATCCCCCCAAAACTGCCAGCCATAATTACACCCTGTCCCAAACATTCAGTGTCCACAAAAATTTGGCCTATCTGCAATCTTCATTTCTCCATCTTTCACACACACACACACACACACACACACACGCACACACACCCTCCCCCTCTTGGACCAATCTTTCCATCCTCTTACCCGCTCTTCTTTCCCGACTTCTGTGTACCTCAAAGACCATGGAAATCCCCTAAATGAGGTCGCTTCTACTACTGTTGCCATTTTAGGGAGCAGGAAACAGGCCCTGAGGGTTTGAGTGACTTCCCCGAGGTCACAGAACTCAAGCAGCGAGCCCACAGCCCACGCTCTTAACCTCTAGCCCTCGGCCTCTTCCCGGTCGCAGGTGCACCCGCGTCCACTCAAACCCCGCCCAGTCTCCCACTTCCAGTCACTTCCCCGCTCTTCCGCGCGCCCATCTCCCCCCACACCTGAGTCAGGCCCCGGGGGACACGCCCCATCCATCCTTAGCGGTTTCCCCTTTTCTCTGCCAGAGACTGAGGGTGAGGCCGACATTGGCGTCCCGCACGCGTGGTGGTGGCCGCGACGTTGCGGGGGAACACCCAGCGGGACCGGGATCCGACGACGGCGGCCGAGGGGGAACCACACTGAAGTCAGCGCTGTGAGGGCGGGCGGAGGGGGCGGGGCCCGTAGGGCCAACTCCGCCCCCTGCGTGCATGCTCCGGCCCCCGCGGCGTGGTATAAGGCGGCGGCGCCCACCCCTCCCCACAGTGTCTGGCGAACTCCCGGGGCGTGAGGGGCGCCAGGCGCGGAGAGGAGCTCCGCCCCGAGCCGCCCCGTCACGTCACGCTCACGCGGCGCCGCGACCCGCGCACAACGGTTAGCTGGGTAACGGCGGGTGGCGCGCTGGGAGTCCTGGCTGCTTGGGCGGGGTGGGAGGGAGCCTCGGGGAACGGAGAGCTTGGTTTCCTGGGGACGGGGGGCGGCCCTCGAGGGCTTCGTGGCTGCAGCGCCGCGGAGCAGGGAGCGGTTGGTGAAGGAGGCGAGGACAGGTGTCCCGGCCAAGTGTCCCGGGCGCCAGCGCGGGGAGATGAGTGAGATCGTGGTGGCCTGGGGGAAATCTCTTCATCCCCACTGGGGATGCTTTCCATCTGGAAGAGTAATGACCTGAGGCTATAAAATCTGATAGCGTTGATTAACCTCTTCCCTCCAGGATCTCTTGGCCAGGTTGTGTCTGAGGGAGGGGTGGGGGGGGTGATATGGGGTGGGAGGTTGTTTTGGCGTTGTGGCATGCCACCTGTAACCTTTTTTAACATCTTTATTGGAGTATAATTGCTTTGCATTGTTGTGTCAGTTTCTGCTGAATAACAAAATGAATCAGCTATACATATACATATATCCCCATATCTCCTCCCTCTTGTGTCTCCCTCCCACCCTCCCTATCCCACCCCTCTAGGTGGGCACAAAGCACCAAGCTGATCTCCCTGTGCCATGAGGCTGCTTCCCACTAGCTATCTATTTTACATTTGGTAGTGTATATATGTCCACGCCACTCTTACATCGTCCCAGCTTACCCTTCCTCCTCCCGGTGTTTTCAAGTCCATTCTCTGCATCTGCGTCTTTATTCCTGTCCTGCCCCTAGGTTCTTAAGAATTTTTTTTTTTTTTAGATTCCGTATATATATGTTAGCACACGGTATTTGTTTTTCTCTTTCTGACTTACTTCACTCTGTATGACAGACTCTAGGTCCATCCACCTCACTACAAATAACTCAATTTTGTTTCTTTTATGGCTGGGTAATATTCCATTGTATATATGTGTCACATCTTCTTTATCCAGTCATCTGTCAGTGGACACTTCTTAGGTTGCTTCCATGTCCTGGCTATTGTAAATAATGCTGCAGTGAACATTGTGGTACATGAGTCTTTTTTTTTTTTTTTTGTGGTACGCGGGCCTCTCCCTGTTGGGGCCTCTCCCTGTTGGGGCCTCTCCCGTTGCGGAGCACAGGCTCCGGACACACAGGCTCAGCGGCCACAGCTCACGGGCCCTGCCACTCTGCGGCATGTGGGATCTTCCCGAACCGGGGCACGAACCCGTGTCCCCTGCATCGGCAGGCGGACTCTCAACCACTGCGCCACCAGGGAAGCCCTACATGAGTCTTTTTGAATTACGGTTTTCTCAGGGTATATGCCCAGTATTGGGATTGCTGGGTCATATGGTAATTCTATTTTTAGTTCTTTAAGGTGTTTTCCAGAGTGGCTGTATCAATTTACATTCCTACCAACAGTGCAAGAGGGTTCCCTTTTCTCCACACCGTCTCCAGCATTTATTGTTTGTAGATTTTTTGGATGATGGCCATTCTGACCTGTGTGAGGTGATACCTCATTGCAGTTTTGATTTGCATTTCTCTAATAATTAGTGATGTTGAGCATCCTTTCATGTGTTTGTTGGCAATCTGTATATCTTCTTTGGAGAAATGTGTATTTAGGTCTTCTGCTTATTTTTGGATTGGGTTGTTTGTTTTTTTGATATTGAGCTGCATGAGCTGCTTGTAAATTTTGGAGATTATTCCTTTGTCCATTGATTCGTTTGCAAATATTTTCTCCCATTCTGAGGGTTGTCCTTTCGTCTTCTTTATGGTTTCCTTTGCTATGCAAAAGCTTTGAAGTTTCATTAGGTCCCATTTGTTTATTTTTGTTTTTATTTCCATTTCTCTAGGAGGTGGGTCAAAAAGGATCTTGCTGTGATTTTTGTCATAGAGTGTTCTGCCTATGTTTTCCTCAAGAGTTTGATAGTGTCTGGCTTTATATTTAGGTCTTTAATCCATTTTGAGTTTATTTTGTGTATGGTGTTAGGGAGTATTCTAATTTCATTCTTTTATATGTAGCTGTCCAGTTTTCCCAGCACCACTTATTGAACAGGCTGTCTTTTCTCCATTGTATATCCTTGCCTCCTTTATCAAAGATAAGGTGACCATATGTGTGTGGGTTTATCTCTGGGCTTTCTATCCTGTTCCATTGGTCTATATTTCTGTTTTTGTGCCAGTACCATACTGTCTTGATTACTGTAGCTTTGTAGTATAGTCTGAAGTCAGGGATCCTGATTCCTTCAGCTCTGTTTTTCTTTCTCAAGATTGTTTTGCCTATTTGGGTCTTTTGTGTTTCCATACAAATTGTGAAATTTTTTGTTCTAGTTCTGTGAAAAATGCCATTGGTAGTTTGATAGGGATTGCACTGAATCTGTAGATTGCTTTGGGTAATATAGTCATTTTCACAATGTTGATTCTTCCAATCCAAGAACATAGTATATCTCTCCATCTGTTTGTATTGTCTTTAATTCATCACTGTCTTATAGTCTTCTGCCTACAGGTCTTTTGTCTCCTTAGGTAGGTTTATCCCTAGGTATTTTATTCTTTTTGTTGCAGTGGTAAATGGGAGTGTTTCCTTAATTTCTCTTTCAGATTTTTCATCATTAGTGTATAAGAATGCAAGAGATTTCTGTGCATTAATTTTTTATCCTGCTACTTTACCAAATTCATTGATTAGCTCTACTATTTTTCTGGTAGCATCTTTAGGATTCTCTGTGTATAGTATCGTATCATCTGCAAACAGTGACAATTATACTTCTTCTTTTCTGATTTGGATTCCTATTATTTCTTTTTCATCTCTGATTGCTGTGGCTAAAACTTCCAAAACTATGTTGAATAATATTGATGAGAGTGGGCAACCTTGTCTTGTTCCTGATCTTAGTGGAAATGGTTTCAGTTTTTCACCATTGAGAATGATGTTGGCTGTGTGTTTGTCATATATGGCCTTTATTTTGTTGAGGTAAGTTCCCTTTATGCCTATTTCTGGAGGTTTTTTTTTTATCATAAGTCGGTGTTGAATTTTGTCAAAAGCTTTTTCTGCATCTATTGAGATGCTTATATGGTTTTTCTCCTTCAATTTGTTAATATGGTGTATCACATTGATTGATTTACATATATTGAAGAATCCTTGCATTCCTGGGATAAAACCCACTTCGTCATGATGTATGATCCTTTTAATGTGCTGCTGGATTCTGTTTGCTAGTATTTCTTTTTTTTTTTTTTTTTTTTGCGGTACACGGGCCTCTCACCACTGTGGCCCCTCCTGTCGCGGAGCACAGGCTCCGGACATGCAGACCCAGCGGCCACGGCCCACGTACCCAGCCGCTCTGCAGCATGCGGAATCCTCCCAGACCGGGGCACAAACCCGCGTCCCCTGCATTGGCAGGCAGACTCCCAACCACTGCGCCACCAGAGAAGCCCTGTTTGCTAGTATGTTGTTGAAGAGTTTTGCATCTATGTTCATCAGTGATATTGGCCCTATAGTTTTCTTTTTTGTGACATCCTTGTCTGGTTTTGGTGTCAGGGTGATGGTGGCCTTGTAGAATGAGTTTGGGAGTGTTCCTCCCTCTGCTATATTTTGGAAGAGTTTGAGAATGATAGGTGTTAGCTCTTCTCTAAATGTTTGATAGAATTTGCCTGTGAAGCCACCTGGTCCTGGGCTTTTGTTTGTTGGAAGATTTTTAATCACAGTCTCAATTTCAGTGCTTTTGATTGGTCTGTTTATATTTTCTATTTCTTCCTGGTTCAGTCTTGGAAGGTTGTGCTTTTCTAAGAATTTGTCCATTTCCTCCAGGTTGTCCATTTTATAGGCATATAGTTGCTTGCAGTAATGGCTCACGATCCTTTGTATTTCTGCAGTGTCAGTTGTTACTTCTCCTTTTTCATTTCTACTTCTGTTGATTTGAGTTTTCTCCCTTTTTTTCTTGATGAGTCTAGCTAATGGCTTATCAATTCTGTTTATCTTCTTAAAGAACCAGCTTTTAGTTTTATTGATCTTTGCTATTGTTTCCTTCATTTCTTTTTCATTTATTTCTGATCTGATCTTTATGATTTCTTTCCTTCTGCTAACCTTCGATGTTTTTTGTTCTTCTTCCTCTAATTGCTTTAGGTGTAGGTGTAAGTTTAGGTTGTTTATTTGAGATTTTTCTGGTTTCTTGAGGTAGGACTGTATTGCTATAAACTTCCCTCTTAGAACTGCTTTTGCTGTATCCCATAGGTTTTGGGTCATCGTGTTTTCATTGTCATTTGTTTCTAGGTATTTTTTGATTGCCTCTTTGATTTCTTCGTGATCTCTTGGTTATTTAGTAGTGTATTGTTTAGCCTCCATGTGTTTGTGTTTCTTACAGTTTTTATTCCTGTAATTGATATCTAGTCTTATAGCTAGTAGTAGTAGTCGGAAAAGATACTTGATACGATTTCAGTTTTCTTAAGTTTACCAAGGCTTGATTTGTGACCCAAGATATGATCTATCCTGGAGAATGTTCCATGAGCACTTGAGTTCTGTTGTTTTTGGATGAAATGTCCTATAAATATCAATTAAGTCCATATTGTTTAATGTGTCATTTAAAGCTTGTGTTTCCTTATTTATTTTCATTTTGGATGATCTGTCCATTGGTGAAAGTGGGGTGTTAAAGTCCCCTACTATTACTGTGTTACTGTCAATTTCCCCTTTTATGGCTGGTAGCATTTGCTTTATGTATTGAGGTGCTCCTATGTTGTATGCATAAATATTTACAATTGTATTTTCTTCTTGGATTGATCCCTTGATCATTATGTAGTGTCCTTCTTTGTCTCTTGTAATAGTCTTTATTTTAAAGTCTATTTTGTCTGATATGAGAATTGCTACTCCAGCTTTCTTTTGATTTCCATTTGCACGAAATATCTTTTTCCATCCCCTCACTTTCAGTCTGTATGTGTCCCTAGGTCTGAAGTGGGTCTCTTGTAGACAGCATATATATGGATCCTGTTTTTGTATCCATTCAGCCAGTCTATGTCTTTTGGTTGGAGCATTTAATCCATTTACATTCAAGGTAGTTATCGATCTGTATGTTCCTATTACCATTTTCTTAATTGTTTTGGGTTTGTTATTGTAGGTCTTTTCCTTCTCTTGTGTTTCTCACTTAGAGAAGTACCTTTAACATTCGTTGTAAACCTGGTTTGGTGGTGCTGAATTCTCTTAGTTTTTGCTTGTCTGTAAAGGTTTTAATCTCTCCATCGACTCTTAATGAGACCCTTGCTGGGTAGAGTAATCTTGGTTGTAGGTTTTACCCTTTCATCCCTTTAAATATGTCCTGCCACTCCCTTCTGGCTTGCAGAGTTTCTGCTGAAAGATCAGCTGTTAACGTTATGGGGATTCCCTTGTATGTTATTTGTTGCTTTTCCCTTGCTGCTTTTAATATTTTTTCTTTGTATTTAATTTTTGAGAGTTTGATTAATCTGTGTCTTGGCGTATTTCTCCTTGGATTTATCCTGTATGGGATTCTCTGTGCTTCCTGGACTTGATTATTTCCTTTCCCATATTAGGGAAGTTTTCAACTATAATCTCTTCAAATATTTTCTCAGTCCCTTTCTTTTTCATTTCTTCTGGGACCCCTATAATTCAAATGTTGGTGCGTTTAATGTTGTCCCAGAGGTCTCTGAGACTGTCCTCAATTCTTTTCATTCTTTTTTCTTCATTCTGCTCTGCAGTAATTATTTCCACTATTTTATCTTCCAGGGCACTTATCTGTTCTTCTGCCTCAGTTATTCTGCTATTGATTCCTTCTAGAGAATTTTAAATTTCATTTATTGTGTTATTCTTCATTGTTTGTTTGCTCTTTAGTTCTTCTAGGTTCTTGTTAAACGTTTCTTGTATTTTCTCCATTCTGTTTCCAAAATTTTGGGTCATCTTTACTATCATAACTGAATTCTTTTTCAGGTAGACTGCCTGTTTCCTCTTCATTTGTTTGGTCTGGTGGGTTTTACCTTGCTCCTTCATCTGCTGTGTGTTTTTCTGTCTTCTCATTTTGCTTAGCTTACTGTGTTTGGGGTCTCCTTTTTGCAGGCTGCAGGTTCACAGTTCCCCGTTGTTTTTGGTGTCTGCTCCCAGTGGGTAAGGTTGGTTCAGTGGGTTGTGTAGGCTTCCTGGTGGAGGGGACTGGTGCCTGTGTTCTGGTGGATGAGGCAGAATCTTTTCTTTCAGTTGGGCAGGGCTGCGTCTGGTGGTGTGTTTTGGGGTGTCTGTGACCTTATTATGATTTTAGGCAGCCTCTCTGCTAATGGGTAGGGTTGTGTTCCTGTCTTGCTATTTGTTTGTCATGGGGTGTCCAGCACTGGAGGTTGCTGGTTGTTGAGTGGAGCTGGGTCTTAGTGTTGAGACGGAGATCTCTGAGAACTCTCGCCAGTTGATATTATGTGGGGCCGGGAGGTCTCTGGTGGTCCGATGTCCTGAACTTGGCTCTCCCATCTCAGAGGTTCAGGCCTGACACCCGACCAGAGCACCAAGATCCTTCCTCATGTTTAGACTTCCATCACCCGTCTGGCAGGGAGTGAGCCTCCTCAAAGCACACGCAGCCGTCTTCCGGGAGGAAACACCAATCCCAACAGAAGCCCACCAGACAAAAGCAACTCAGCGAGATCCCCCGGCAGCTGACAGCACGTTTTCTTCCTCTTTTTCTTTGATCTGTTGCTATACGCACTCTGCCCAAGACAACATCAAGTTTCTCAAGCTTTGCTTCCCAGCCTATGAAAAGTTGGGCACAGGGCCACCTGTAACCTTCTAATCTTTAAACTCTTTTAAACTTTTTTCCCTCTTCCTTTGACTCATCCTGAGTTCTACCCCATTCTTGATTCTCCATGACTTTGTCCATAGAAATTCCATTTTCTCCTCAAATCCTACCTATCCCTTGTCTCCATTGTATTTTTTAAAAATATTTATTTATTTAGGCTGTGCCAGGTCTTAGTTGCAGCACATGGGATCTTTTAGTTGCAGCATGTGGACTCTTAGTTGTGGCATGCAGACTTCTTACTTGCGGCATGGATGTGGGATCTAGTTCCCCAGCCAGGGATCAAACCCAGGGCCCCTGCATTGGGAGCATGGAGTCTTACCCACTGGACCACCAGGGAAGTCCCTCCACTGTATTTTTTTTATTTTGCGGTACGCGGGCCTCTCACTATTGTGGCCTCTCCCGTTGCGGAGCACAGGCTCCGGATGCGCAGGCTCAGCGGCCATGGCTCACGGGCCTAGCCGCTCCGCGGCATGTGGGATCTTCCTGGATCGGGGCACGAACCCGTGTCCCCTGCATCTGCAGGCAGACTCTCAACCACTGCGCCACCAGGGAAGCCCTCCACTGTAATTTTTGTATTATGTGAATCTTTACACTTGTATTATTTTTGCTTACTTTCTCTCCTCTATTGTAAGTTTCTAAGGTAGTAGCTGTCTTTGAAGTTCCCTTATGCATAGTTAAATGGAACAGTGTGTCTTGAGCAACTTTTTGGCTAATTACTGTGACCCATGGAATTCTCTCTTCTTGTGGATCCAGTAGTATCAGTTACATTATTTAAATTAGCCCCAAACCTTGTCTTCAGTAATTCCCTCTAAGGTGTAGGCCATTGTCATGCCAATTGCCAGTAACCCCTCTAGAGGTTGATGATTCAGATTTAGGATGCAAATTAGAAATGCACAATTTTACCTCACTCTGTTGTGATTGCACCTTGCTGATGTTTGTCATTTTTCATATAGAAAACAGCCCCCTAAGGGGAGCAGATTAACAATTTACTGTATTTTTTTAGGAAAGTGAAATAGATTGTTGAAATTATTTTAAGTGTATTATAAAGTGATTTTTGTTTTACTGACAGTATATTCTAGGACTTACATCGTCAGCATTTAAAGACTTAAGTTTAACCTATAATCGTATTTTGAGATAACAAAATTTCATTTTTGATAATTTTTTAGTGTCCAGAAATGCCCTTTAAAACAACTTTGCAGGGCTTCCCTGGCGGCACAGTGGTTGAGAGTACACCTGCCGATGCAGGGGACACGGGTTCGTGCCCTGGCCCAGGAAAATCCCACATGCCGCGGAGCAGATAGGCCTGTGAGCCATGGCCGCTAGGCCTGCACATCCGGAGCCTGTGCTCCGCAACGGGAGAGGCCACAACAGTGAGAGGCCCGAGTACCGCAAAACAAAAACAACTTTGCAAATAACTATTTATCTGTACTTAGTGTAAGTAATGCTTATGTTAGACAAACAATACTTAATTTATTAGTCTTTTGTGGATTATCAGGTACTTTACAAAAACAACTTTGTTACTTCTTTGAAGTAGTGGGCTCAGATGTAGTAGTAATAATGATGTTCAGACTCATGATGGACATTACACAATTATGTATACAGGAAAGAACTAAAAGGAGACAAATGTAATTGTCTTGAATTTGGGATGAAAAAAATTTTTTTTAACATCTTGACTGGAGTATAATTACTTTACAATGGTGTGTTAGTTTCTGCTTTATAACAAAGTGAATCAGCTATACGTACACATATACCCCCATATCGCCTCCCTCTTGCTTCTCCCTCCCACCCTCCTATCCCACAAAAATATGGAATGCTTCATGAATTTGTGTGTCATCCTTGCGCCGGGGCCATGCTAATCTTCTCTGTATCATTCCAATGTTAGTATATATGCTGCTGAAGCAAGCATTGGGATGAAAACTTTAAGAATGATGAGTAAAGCATAGAGGTAAAATTCTAGTCTTCATTCATAAAAACCTAGAGATACTTTCACATAAAACCAACTATAAAACTATTAAAAATTATGAAGCTGATTATAGTGTTAAATATTTCAGTGAGCAGTTCAAGTCATACTTTTTTTTTTTTTTCAAGAAAAGGAAGAACAACTTTCTCTGCTGTCTTCCTCCTTGTGACTACTTATTTTCCCAACTTGGCCTCAAAGAACTAGGTGTGAAGTAGATACCAGCAGTGGTATACTAGCATTTCTATTCAAAAGGAGTAATGTAGATGACCATAACCCTAACTCCATACCTGTTTATTTATTATTTTAAAGTAGTCAGTACATTTGTGCTTCAAACCCTGGGACAAAATCAGTCATATATTAATAAATAAAAATAGTGTATTTAGGTTTTGGAGAGTCTACTTTGGATTGCAGAAAACAATGTTTATAGCTTATAGTCTAGATTATAATCTGGAATTCTACTGAGCAAAACTCTCCTGTATAGTGTAAAGGACTTCAAAGGACACAGTCTCTAACTTCCCTTTCTTCACTATTACCTCAGATTTTTATGTCCTTTCTAAAATGTGAAGAAAATTGGTATTTAGAAATCATGCCAAAATAAAATATTTCAAATAACAAAGACAGGAATTTGGTAATTTGGCAGAATTGTGTTGAGTCCACCGATGGGTTTTGAATTTTTTTATCCATAATTTTTCTTTTGAATGCTCGTATTTTATTTCCTTTCTTCTTCTCTCTGAATCTTTTTCTTCCTGAAGACACTGCAGTTTTAAATTTAATTTTGATACTGTGGAATAAAGTTTTTAATATAAGACAGTGTTATTATTAAAACTGATGAAACAGTTCTTGGTGACCAAAAATTGTGACCTTAAAAAGCAAATTGTGGGAGTTCCCTGGTGGTCTAGTGGTTAGGACTCGGTGCTTTCACTGCTGTGGCCCGGGTTCAATCCCTGGTTGGGGAACTGAGATCCCATAAGCCAAGAGGCATGTCCAAAAATATATAAATAAACAAACAAATAAATAAATAAAAGAAATTGTGAGAAACCATAACCGGCAACTAAGCTCAAAGTTTAATCACATTCAATAAGTATTATATTAGCTGTTCCAACTGAACCTTACTGCATCAAACACCTCTACTATCACAGAGTATGTATGTAAATTTAAGTGTAAATATTCTGAGATTAATTAACCTTTAATGTTTTTTTTACTCTTAATTCAGAAAAAAATTTGTGAAATTCATGCCATGGAGCATTTCTATTTAACCTCAGAACCCAGATTGTTTCCTTTGAACTGAGATGTTGCAGCTTCTATTAACTCAAATGGAAATTTTAGAAATCTTGGAGATATTTTTATTATCCTACCTTCAGCATACGTAGGTGAAATGCTCTGGGACAGGTAATCTTCATTTTCAAGTGGTGGTATGGAATTATTTTGCAAATCCTCAGCTTCATATGTACCCTGAATTTAGAATGAACTCTCCTAAGATGAGACTGGATGCCTCAGGACTTCTTTAACTGACTCATTTCATGCAAATCCCCTTCTCCATCATTTTTAAAAAATTTCTTATTGAAGTATAGTTGATTTTCAATATTGTGTTTCAGGTCTATAGCAAAGTGATTCATATACTGTGTGTATGTGTGTGTGTGTGTGTGTGTGTGTGTGTGTGTGTGTGTATATATATATATATATATATACTTTTTCAGATTCTTTTCCATTATAGCTTATTACAAGATACTGAATTTAGTTCCCTATGCTATACAGTAAGTCCTTGTTTATCTATTCCCTTCTTCTTTACAAAAGAAAGACTACCTCACTCATCCCTGTTCTTACTCTGGTGTGCTGTTCCATACTATAAAAATCTTTGGGGAACAATCCAAACAAAGGGAAAAACCTGGAATGCATAGCTCCAGAGAGAGAATTTTGAAGGAGACAGGAATAGGTGGTAACAGGAATGTTTTTCAACTCACTGCTTTGAATTTGTAGGGAAGAAAAACTTTTCCCTTCTTACCTTCTAAGCTCTGTGGTTGGTCTAATAATTAAATAATAATTAAATTGACATAAGGCAGATTAACAGCAGAAAAACATTTAATTTCGTACATATAAAATAAAAAATATAAAATATATTATATAAAATATATTTTATATATTTTATAAAATATAAAATATAATATATTTTATAATTATATATTTTATAAAATATAAAATATAATATAAAAATATAACACTTGAGACTTCCCTGGTGGCGCAGTGGTTAAGAATCTGCCTCCCAATGCAGGGGACATGGGTTCGACCCCTGGTCCAGGAAGATCCCACATGCCGTGGAGCAGCTAAGCCCGTGCACCACAACTACTGAGCCTGTGCTCTAGATCCTGCGAGCCACAGCTACTGAGCCTACGTGCCACAACTAATGAAGCCTGCATGCCTAGAGCCTGTGCTCCACAACAAGAGAATCCACCACAACGAAGAGTAGCTCCCACTTGGAGCAACTAGAGAAAGCCTGTGTGCAGCAACAAAGACCCAATGCAGTCAAAAATAAAAAAGCTAAATAAATAAATTTATTGAAAAAAAATATGACACTCAAAGAAGTAACCTAAGCAGGAAGCTTTTATACCTTTTAGACAAGGAAACAATACATTTGTGAAGAATTGACAAGACAAAGCATTTGGGCTTGGGTGGCATATTAGTGAAGAAGTAACAAGGTTTGTTTATATAGCCTTCTCGGCCCTAAACTCACTATCTCTGATAATAAGGATGCCTGCTATTCTCCTGATACTGGGAGAGTAACTTTCGAATGGGAGATTTATTTCCTGCTATTGGGGACAAAGAGGTCAGAGTGTCCATCTTGTACCGGCTGTTTCTTAAGTTACTTTAATTCAAAATAAACAATATGCCAAATGGCATATTTTGGGGTGGCATATTCTATTCCCTTTCAAATTCAAGTGAGGTCACACCTTTTCTGATAGTGAGGACTGGCCAGTTATATAGTGGCCATTTTCCGTAAACTGAATGAGCCGAAGTGCCAAGGTTTTGACAACGATATATTTAATGCACATATAACACAATATACAATATGCCAGAAATCACATATTTGCAACTATCAAACTTATACAGTTTAATAGTCAATGTGTAAGGAAGTACAGTTTCCAGAGTTCATTTTGGGGCAAAATTGTTGAAGACCACAGGTTTGGGAGTCACTTGTACACACACTTAGTTCCTTTCAAAGTAAATCTAAGAGATTAAGAGAGGGTATAATGGTATAATTCAGGACGTTATATCAGCAAAGAATTTTGCTTGATTTTTTTTCTTTCTTACACCAAGTGTGATTCTTATAAAAAGCCTGTAGTTGTGGAAGAGAATTAATTTGGTAGCTCTATCTAAAAGACCCCAGGCAAAGGATACTATGGGATGTGACAGTATTTTCCAGAGCAAAAGCAGAAACTACGCTAGGGACCAAATTCCTGCGTCAGAACCAACCAGGACCAACAGAGACCTTTACCAAGGATGAATCATGCTTTGGGAGATGAGGGCCCGGTGGCATTGGGGAAACTTTGAAATGGCTCTTACATCAATCATATCTCTTCTGTAGGTGAAATGTACTATATGTCCTATACTCACTTGAGGACTTTCACTTATCCTTGTTTGTCTCCGTCGGTGAATGGGAATGGGTGGAAAATTGTATTTCTAATAATTTCATGGTATAATCTTACCCATTCTGATGAATAGTCAAAATAAATGGAAATCTCTGAAGGAGATGAATCTGTAATTGCTACCAGGCCATAGAATAATGGTGCTTTCATGTTCTGATTTGATTCTATCAATTTCTGGGCTTAAGCAGCTACTTAGAAAGTTGTAAATGTTAGGAGGAGTTATCTGGGCTATTTATGCCAAATCACTTTAAAGGACTTGAAACAATCTGATTGTGTCTGAGCTCCGGTAAACAGAACTATCCTAGTGGAACTTGCTGGCCCTGGTCATATCCCAGTCCTGTTTATCTGACCAGGAGACCCTGGGGAAGTTTGGAACAAGGCCAGAGTCTCTTAAGGAACATTGTTGAAGAAGTCTCAGATCCTTCTGGAGGAAAAGGAGGAGTCTGAAAAGTTTGCCCAGGCTCCTGCTTTTTGTGGTGGCATTGCCTTGGGGTGTGTGTGTGTGTGTGTGTGTGTGTGTGTGTGTGTGTGTGTGTGTG